TGATAAAGTATTAGTAAACATTGTTCATAAATTCACATATGACTCATAGTTTCATGAACTATACGAGAGACATGTTGATTTGTGAACAATGTTTACTATCACTTTGGCAGCTGAAGAAATCACTAAAATAAAAGTTTTAAATCTTGATGAGTTATATAACTTTGGTATTCACCACTTTTTCAGCTGAAATCATTTAATGGTTGAAAATCTCGTTAGAACTTGTCAGTTTTTAAAATTTGAAAATTTAAATTGCTCAAACTTTGTCAAATGAAAAGAATGATCAAATCAACACAATAACTTGATAGGACATGATTTTAGAAAATTTGAGAAAAAAATCATCACATTTTGAGTTAGTATGAGGGAGAAAGACCAGTTACAAATTTTACCCAGAGATTAAAAAGAAAATCACAATTGTTCATGATGATCAATGATAAACAAGTGTGATTAACTCCAAATGTGATGATTTTTTCCTAAAATTTGCTAAAATCATGTCCTATCAAGTTATTGTGTTTATTTGGTCATTCTTTTCGTTTTACAAAGTTTGAGCAATTCAAATTTTCAAATTTTAAAAAATGACAAGTTCTAACGAGATTTTCAACCATTAAATAATTTCAGCTGAAAATGTGATGAATACCAAAGTTGTATAACTCATCAAGATCTAAAACTTTTATTTTGATCATTTCTTCATAGTAAACATTGTTCACAAATCAACATGTCTCTCGTATAGTTTATGAAACTATGAGTGATCTGTGGATTTGTGAACAATATTTATTAACACTTTGTTAAATGAAGAAATAATCAAAATAAAAGTTATAAATAGTGATGAGTTCAACAACTTTTATGTTCATGACATTTCTAGTTGAAATCATTTAAGGTTTCAAAATCTTGTTTGAAGTTGCCATTTATTAAAATTCAAAATTTGAACTGTTCAAATTTAGTCAAATAAAAAGATGATCAAAATAAAAGTTGTAGATAGTAATGTGTTCAACAACTTTTATGTTCACCACTTTCTTATTTGAAATCATTTAAGGTTTCAAAATCTTGTTTGAAGTTGCCATTTATTGAAATTCAAAAGTTAAACTTTCCAAATTTTGTCAAATGAAAAGATGACCAAAATATAAGTTGTACATCTTGATGAATTCTACAACTTTGATGTTTACAAAATTTTCATTTGAGGTCATTTATTGTCCTAAAATTTATTAGTTGTGTTGAAATTCTAATTTTAAAATATTGTTTTTGTAAAGAAGAAAATATAGAATTATATCTATATATATAATAAAATTGTTTATATATACATATATTTATATATATAGAATAATAAAAAAACTAATATATAAATTTATATTGTTTTCTTTATATATGAATGAATTACATAATTAGTAATTAAAATAAAATCGATAAATATTTGTTGGGATGGCTAACTCAGGAACCGCCCATACAGATAGAAATACCGGTGACGGCTGGTGAGTGAGCCGCCCCTACAAATCTGACTCATTTGTAGGGGCGGCTCGTATGACCAGCCGCCCCTACTGCTCCATTTGTAGGGGTGGTTGGTCTTCTGGGTCTCGAGCACACCACTGTAGGGGCGGCTCCATCACGAGCCGCACCTACAAATAAAAATGTACCGTTGCTACAAATGTTTTTTTTTTGTAGTAGTGAACTATAGCAAGGTGGTCCACGCCGCCAATAGCACAAGTAGCTAGTTTTTCAACATTGTACTGGCATTTAGGTTTCTTTTACTCCAAAATTCTGTATGCGGGTAGTCTTGTTTGTTTGACTTATTGTAATGTCATTCCATCACAATTGTATCCATCGGTATCAAAGAGATGAATCTAGAGCATTAAATCTGAATCTATATATAGTATCAATATGGTAATTTGTAGCCCTTAAGATGAAAGAGATTATTTATTTTAATTCAATATGGTAAATTGTAGCCTTTAGAATCTAAATCTATCATGCATTTTATTCTTATAAAAAATATATTTCAATATGGTAAATCTATCATAAAAAAATGACTCTTTGAAAAGATCAGAATTTTTTTTTTGCATATGCACAGTCAAAATTTAAAAAATGACTCTTTGAAAAGTGATATATACATTCTTTTTGTTTTAGGGTAATAAAGGGTGGAGATTGTAACGGGCTCCTTGACTTGATGAGCCAGCAGGAATGGGGCCCGTGGCTCCCTGCGGATAATTCGCACTGTACCCGTCAACTTTGAATTCGATGGGCCCGGCCCTGTGTCGACAGATCTGAATCTGAAGATGACCAGGTGACCACACGCACGAGTTGCACGGTTTGGCCTTGCCCATGACGTCACCTCCGTGACGCCACTCTGCTGTTGCGTGGCTGATGAAGAGACATGCATGTACTCACGTACAAACATGTCGCGCTCCGGAACGACTCCTCCGTCCGCGAACAGCGACCTGCGACCCCCTGGCAGTCTGGCATGCACGCAGCACCCTCGCCGCCGGCAGGCGGACTCCGCCACGGAGGCCCCGCCTGCCAGCCAAACGCGAGTTAGCTAGGGTAAATCTTTTACAACACGAATCTTGCACCAGTCACCTTGTCCCCTGATTTTGCCACGTCGTCCTGTTATTCTGCACCGTCTGATCTTTATTGGGCCGTCAAAAAGCAGACATTAGAGCCTGCGTTCCTGTGCCGACCAAGAGTTGATACGGAGGGTCGGTCCCACATCTCTTCGGTGCGCAGGGGCACGGGCAATCGACTCCGCATTGCCTATGACGACTTCACAAATGTTCAGGAGCTGACATATGGATGGATTTTACCACTCGCACTTATTTGTTTTTTTCAATTGATAATAAACTAGAATTGTTCTAATGAACCGGAGTACTCCCTCCCTCAAAAAAAAACACAATTCTAGCTTAAGCCTTCAGGTATCAAACGTATCTTCCTCATATACCTTGTTCTGTTTGTTTCATCTGGCTCTACAGTGGCAAGGGGCTTCCTAGAATAGCTATCTTCCTTGCTATGAACTCCTATTTACTTCTCGGCTTTGATGTACGGTGTTTGCTAGCATTCCATAGTTAGAGATTGATTAGTTGAACTGATTAAGTTTGTTCTAATGCCACACTATTTGTTTTGGCTCGCTATATAATGTTTGATAAAATAGTGGTGCGTTTCTTCATCCTGCATCCCAAAGTAATGATCTACTAGCATGCTCTAAGTAGGGCACGGCAAAGCCGCGCTAGTTTTTCTAGTGGTTTATTCGGCTGCAATTGCACTGTTCACTTCTACTAAAAGCATCAGATGTTGTTGCGGCCTGTGTCTTCTTCTCCACTCACATCTCACTGTAGCAACAGCGGCGTAGCCGTAGCCGAATAGTCCAAATTATTGTAATGCAGTTGCAATGCAGCCATTTTCTCTTATTCGAACAAGCCAAATATAGACGTAGAGTTTATGAATGAATCGTATTATTAACCCTATAAACACTACTCGTGCACACAACTATAAATTCACGTGTAGGCCTTACTATACTCATGGGCCTGGTTAGATCGAGATGGTACTGTACAATTGGTCTTTGGCTTAGGCTGATAATAAGCTGGCTAGTTAACTACTTGGACTAAACGAGCTAAGCCGAGCCGCTAACAGAGCTGAGTCGAATGAGCTATACAAGGAAAAAGTCTATTTTACCTCTCTCATCTTTTGCGAAAGTCAGCTTTACCTCCCTGAACTCGAAAACTAGACACAGACCCTCCCTCGTCTATCAAAACCGTGCACTTGACCCCCAAAGCTGGTATGCACGCTGGTTTTTGCCTTGTTGGCGCCACGTCGGATGTGGGGCCCATGCTGACTCAGCCCAAGACTTAATGAAAAAGAGTAGGCCCGTTCATCTCGACTCCATCTCGTCTCCTACCCCTGCGGCTCCGCTCAGACATCGCCGCAGCGCTCTTCCTCGACACCTTCTTGCCGCACCGCCCTTAGCCTCTTCCTTGCTTCCCCTCGATTTCCCTATGGCCCCTAGCACATCGCGTCTGCTCCTACCGCAGCCAGAATCCACACGCGGAGCCACTACTTGGAGAAAGTGGGCTGCAGCTAATCTGGTGTCCGTACTGCGGCATGGGGAGGATTTTGAAGCTGATGTCAAAATTAGATGAGCACCCAATTGAAAGGTTCTTCAAATGCCTAAGAAAGTACAAAAAGGTTCGGTTTCCTTATTGAAATTTATGGTGGTAAATCAAAGTTAGGGTTTGTACAGTGGGGACTGAATTTTTTTGCCGTTTCAGTTTCCTCTTTGTGAGTTCTACATGTTCGAAGAAGAATATGCCAACTTTCTTGTTAATTATGGGATGCTTCAAGAGTCTCAGATGTGTCATTACCGTCCATTGGAGATGACAGAGACTATGGATGGGATTGTGCAATCTGAGATGTATGAACTGAAGAAAGAACCTGTTGGAAGGACTGTAGCTGCGGCCAAGAAGGGAGGCACGAAGAAGAAGCAAGGACATATGAATTGGATGATATGCGTTGGTGTTGCTGTATTAGTGTTGTTAGGTTTCAATTCCGCCATTCTCCTTGTGTTGGTGCTGATGCAAATGTTTAAGTGATAGCTGTTTAATTATTGTAAAATAGGTCTAGTTCGTTGATCCTCGGTACTCAATGTTTAAGTGATAGCTTAATAATTATGTACTTGGCTTGCTTCGATCTTATTGAATTGACATTTTCAACTATCTGAACAGAAATTGGCTTGCCATTCCTTAACTTGTACAAGTAGAATGATGGCCAGAGAAGGAGCTGCACAAACCTTACAGTTCAGTGTTGCATCAGTTTTCCGACAATGACACTAGCTAGAAATAGGCATGCACCATAATAATGCTTACAACATGATATCATGTCAGTCAGCTCTACTCTCACTCATCCGGATGGATATATAGGCATGTTCTCACAGATAACACAACACTGACGAACACATATAAGTGCAAATAATTGTCATACATGGCATAATTATTCAAGTTTGGCATACAGCCAGCAAGCTGTACACATCACAGCTTATCAGATTGCCATGGAGGAAGCATCAGGAGTGGAGCAGTTCCAGATCTCTTTGGAGCAGGCTTGGACTTCAACTTGGCCGGTTCTTGAGCTGACACACGAACAGATGTAGTCCCACCAGTTAACTGTACATGCACACTAGAATTAACATTGGAAGTGGGCACTCTGGCTTGCAGGTTAATTGTAGCTGAGCTAGAAGGAATTGTCGAAACCCTGGCATGTGCACTCGATTTGATGATGTTATGTGAGTTTGTTGCCTTTGCCTACATCAGTTACATAAAGCTAGAATTAATTTCAAATACAAGCTGCATAAGTTAAAACTTTGAGATGTAGGTAAACATACCTTTTTCTGACTCTGTGTACTAGATACATCAGATGTGGACTTCCTTTTTGTACAGCTTGTGCTGCTCTTTTGTGTATTAGACAGCACAACAATAGCATTTGGGTTACCTCCAGCAGCGGACTGAGAACCTGCTGGCTGTGAGCTACCTCCTCCCTCTGAGTTCAGTGCATGTGTGTTGCCTGCCTGTGAGTACTGCCCTTTAGCTCCATCTGGTAGTCATACAGCATAGAGTACTGCCCTTTAGTTGCATCAAAAGCTTTCTTCATCACTAGTGCTTTTGCTCTCTTTAGCTTCGACATTGTAACATTGGCAAACATTTCTTCTTGCACTGTCTACAACATATGCCCAAGTTTCCAGCAGGGGTTGGCAAAAATAAATTTCTCATATTTTCTAGCAATTCTAGTTAATGTGACTAGTTTGTTGTCTCTTCTAGGTGGACACACATGATTATTGGTAAATGTAGATATTTGCCAACTATCAGTCCTAGAAGTATTTGACAACAGACATACCCATGGGCAACCTTTCCAGTCACATATGGCCCTCACCCTCTTTGGATCATCCTTAACAAACCGAATAACCTTTCTATTATCCAAGCCATGTTTAATTACAGCCTTTTTGAATTGCTTCTTAGAACTAAACTTCATTTCCCAGCTTAAACTTGACAACATAATTCTTCTTGTTAAATCTTGGATACATACTACCTTGACCCAGACCTCCTAACTCATCAATGATTTAGCATCGCTACTATCTATATATGGAGTGCATAGATACAACACCCTCATATATCACATCATCTAAGCTTGCTGCCTCACCCCTCTTGAACTTCTTGAAATTCCTAAATTTCCTATATATCTGGGCCGCTTCATCATCATCACCTGAACTGCATGAGTCTCCAGCCATGTACTCACTGTTAGTGTCAGACTTCTCATCTCCATATGTATGTCCCGGCATGTTATTTGCATGTTCTTTCTCTTTATTCGGACTACTATAAAATTGTTTGATAAGGGCAACTTGCTTCTCTACTTCTTTGCTTCCAATTTTCCTAATACTCATAGGTTGCAAATCTTCATCTTCTATCTCATCATCCTCTAAATTATCTTCCATCTCTTGCTCGTAGTCACTTGCTTCATCTGCTGCATCCTACTCGTGAGTTTCAACATACACATCTGCAACTCCACCTTCAACAATGCAGCCAGACATGTACTGGCACACCCGGTCATCAACCAAAGCTCTTAGGCCTGTACTCATGTCTCTCCCTGGAAACAGCCAATGCAACAATGTGCCTTCTTTGACAGTGCAATGATCATGGAGATGACCAACAACTTCAGGCAGTGACAACTTATCTCGGTCTATATAAGACATAGCTTGAGTACCTCCAACATAAAACAGTCCATTGCTATTCCTCAAGAAGTCCCCATTAAAATGAAACCGAACAAGGAGGAAGTCGCAAACATCCATTGCTAAGCACCTGTAGCCTACAGAGGTCCAATAAAGAACATACACGCTATGAGGTTTAGTCTTATAAAATAGGTCCAATAAAGAACATCAGTGCTTAAAATATGACTACAAGTGCAACATAAAGCTGCCTATTGGCCTCAAAATATGACGGACACTGTAAAGCATAAGCTATAATCAAGGTCAGATGTACCAATTACTAGTTAATTACACAAACTCCAAGAGAATAGACCATTTCCAAACAAAAACAACTCAAGCTACAGGGATCCATGTGTGGCTTAGCACTTACCGTGGTCACCACGCGGAGTCGATCTAACCCAGTGTTAGACGAAATCCAAATCGACAGCGGTGCCCGTGCGTGGAGTCCGAAGCCACAGCCGTACGCCGTCGCGCAAGCCTTAGCTTCGACGTCCGACGGCGCCGCAACCGGAGCCGCGATGTCCGCCGCCGTGCAGCGCGAGCTAGGGTTTCGATTTGGGGGGGATTTTTTGGTCAGACAACCCAAGGGCACGGGCCTACTCTTTTTCATTAAGTCTTGGGCTGACTCAGCATGGGCCCCACATCCGACGTGGCGCCAGCAAGGCAAAAACCAGCCTGCATACCAGCTTTGGGGGTCAAGTGCACGGTTTTGATAGACGAGGGAGGGCCAGTGTCTGGTTTTCGAGTCCAGGGAGACAAAGCTGACTTTCGCAAAAGATGAGAGAGATAAAGTGGACCTTTTCCACTATACAAGTACCGAGCTCTTCATCCAGTCCCCTTCATGTGCCGACCCTAGTGGAGCTGTGGAGGTGGATATCTCGGCCGTTGGCCTGTTCTCCATCGCAGCCGACCCAACGATTTTGTCAGTTAGCCATATCCAACCCATTAAACAGTAGCTGTCTCGCCTTTTAGTTCTGGCCCAGCCCACACACACGGTAAATAAGGCCACATGCCTCATCGCCACTCACCGCAGCCCGGCGTAGTTGATCGCCACGTGTAACATGTTGTCGTCACATATTGCCGTACCTTTTTTTATTACTACTTATTACAAAATGCCAAATTTCTAATCCACGTTGGTAGTGACTGCTCTTCGCCAAGCACTAGCCCCCTATTTTGCAGCACCGCTTCAGGAGCACTATTCAGCGGTCGAACAGTGTCTTTCTCTTATAACATTTCAACATAAGTAGCCAGACAAGTCAAATTTCAGCGAAACGAACAGGGTCTAGAATTTCACAAAATTAAAAATAAATAAATAAAAAGGTATTGGGCTTAGCAATTTCATTCTTATTAAATGCGTATGTTTGTTTAAACAGCTCTATCGTATATTTGACTTGAAATCTTATATGGATCATGGACCTGGAGCTGCTGTTTTGACGATGGGGACTTTGATATACACCGCCCTATACAAGCAAACACACTAGCTGGTGCATTGTCTGGTTGTCATATATATTACATTATTTACAAAAAAAAAAGGTATATGGCAGCATACAGCGGCACACCCTCTTACGTACTTCACATTCTTATTCGACGATTAAAAGAAAATTAGTCTTTACACACTTCACTTCTGCAACCAGATTTTAACCTACACCACTAACATGACGGACCTAACTAAAAGAAGAAAGTCGTATTAGTAGTAATAAAGTAAATAAAGAGGCAGAAAAGGTACAAACCTTTTAGGAACTATCAGGGTCCCCTGTTCAAATAAGCTCTAGAGGCAACAAACCAAATACCCAATAAAATAACTCCAGGCTTATCTGTGCTCTCCTAGTCAAGCAAAGCAGTGTACTCCTTCACACTTAAATTATAGGTCGTTTTAGTTTTTCTAGATATATAACTTTGTTATTCACCTAGACATGCACTATCTAGATACATAGTAAAAATTATATATGAAAAAAACAAAAGCAGCCAATGATTTGGAACAGAGGTAATGCCATCTAGTGAGCATGACTAAAATGAACTGAGAATCTCCTTCAGATAATTTTACTAGGGAGTAAACAAGTCACCTATTCAAATGAAAAAACTAATAGCGCATCGCTCCCTCTAGCGAGTTCTTTGTCATTGTAGTTTTTTTAAATGCTGCAAGCAATACAAAAGTACTAAGTAATCTCTCCATTCTTTGTACTTTTTTTTTGTTTCAAATTGTACGTTATAGCTTTGTCCAAAATAAAAACTTGTCTAGCTTTGACCAAATTTATGGAAAAATTCATAGATTTCTATAACATCAAATAAAATTCATTAGATACACCATGAAATATAGTTTAATAGTGCATTTTTTATATTTTGCCATAAACTTAATCAAAACTAGATAAATTTGACCTAGGACAAATCTAAAACAACTTATAACTTGGAATAGAGCTTATTAGAATGGAGTATATATAACAAGCTAATTGGTTAAAAAAAACTAATCATCTTGTCATAATCATATATATTTTTTATTTAAAAAAGTACTTCAGCTGGTCTATTTTGGACAAGATCCGGTCAAACTCGTGAAAAAACTTGACTACCAATAACTTTAGGATATATAGATCTCTATTCGAAGATATTTTTATAATCTTATACTTGCTAGATTTACAAGTATGCTCAAATAAATAATCAAATAAAATAATGGTTAAAGTACACATCCAAAACATAAGGTACTTTTGACCGGACGGAGTACTCGACAACTTTAACTTCATATGTTTTTGTGGAAATTTTGCTAATGTCATTGGCTAAAACCTCTATCCCTGATTTGTCACCTAAAAAACTCAAATTTCGTTAGTAGCACTATCTATAAATTTAATCTCTTTCACGTCATTGTTGATCATATTCTGTTAGTCTTAACTAATAGACATCAAAAAGATCAATTTGCCCGCCCTCTCACTTGAACATAAATTTAGTTGCACCCTGTTTACACCCCCAACTGAGCACATGATGTAGATTATATTGTGCTAATGCAATCAGTGGCGAAGCTATATATAAGTTTGTGGGTGTAGATGCACCCACGAAAAAAATAAAATATCATTGAGTAGATCAAATTTTCACCGTGTTTACGATTTAAGTTTACGCATCTATAAGGCACACGCACCACCCTCTAATTTGCTCTAGCTTCGCCACTGAATGCAACCTTGGAACTTTTGAAGGATCTTATTCACATAAGACCTTAGGTACATGTGAAGAGTGTCCAGTGGGCCTACCCTCCACAACCACTGCCACGCTCACAGCCAAAAATAGCACGATAACAGCCAATCAGGACATCGAGCAATAGCAGCTAGCAACCACGCTCGCCCACACACTGAGCAACTCACATAGCCGACCCTAGCAGCACACAGCACATGTTTCTCAATCAAAGATTCATCTCTACCACCTCCTTTCTCACCGAGCCGCCCATTTGCTCATTATTGCCTACCTTTGCGATTTGGGGACGACTAGCAGGAGCAATACTGACATATGGATGTTGATATACTTACTCAGACAATTACCTTGATATGAAAGGATTACAATCTAACACCAATTAAATGTATGAGAATCGTGTTTTTTAGGTTGCAGATAAGGGGTTTAGGTTTATGCTAATGGCATGTAAGGAATTTTTCTTTTTTTTCTTCTTTCCAATGAGTAATGACCAAGAGGCAGGCCCAGGAAGAAATTCATAATTTTGGGTCCACGTCTAGGCCCAAAAGCCGAACTCAAATTTCATCTAAATGGCCACACCCTGCCTCCCCTTAGAAGTACGAACTACTAATAACTTTGCTCTCTTTCAATTACGTGGTGAAGAGCTTAAAGATGTGATGTATAACTAATCAATGTATCATTGCAGGGATACGTGGTGCACCCATCCATCTCGCTTAACTTTGCTCTCTTTCAATTGCCACGAATATTATATATAAAGCATGATAGAGAAACGCAGGACCTCATTCTTGGACTGCACTTGACTGCTTGTTTTCGGCCTTTGCCCGTGCAAAACCTTGTTTAGTTTTGCTAAAACCAACCTTGTCACTTTTAAGACTTTGTCACTCTTTCAGATGGTAGTCAAAATTTCTAGAACCTGATGCCTCCATCACAACCCTGTCAACCCATGCAACATTTTTTTTTTGGGTTAATCCTTGGCCATATTACGTAGGCGGCAACACTTATGGTGGGTAGGTAGTCGCTTAGTCCATTTGCACGCATGCCTCCGAGCTGCCAAACCTAATCCTCTGGCTAAACACAAAACATTGTGAATCAGGAGGCACCGTTCGTCCGAGCTTTCATGGTAAAAGAGAAATGCTGCATGCGATTAAAAATACTTGACATGACATGTTCTCAGGCTGCTTTGGATTTCTATTGTACTAGTATGTTATGTAAAGTAATCTGCTGCTCCATCGTCTACACGCGCGGTAAGGGCAGGGGCTAAAAGGGCTCCTCCCCTGCCGCACTGTAGCCATAACAGGGACAGGCGTCAAAGTCAGCCCTGCTGTCACGTCTAGTCACTTTATAGCGACATGGCATATATCGTGTACTAGGATTAGATGGGTAGAGTTGTATATATAGCTTCCCCACCGCAACTTTCAAGTAAAGTTGAGCGAAGTTCGATGAATCGATTGTACCCTTTCGACTTGAAGGTGGAGCGCAGCCGGTGTGGCAAAGACGGCACACCGAGGAGTCTGTGGGCTGTGGCATGCCCGGTTCGGCCATCTCAACCGACGACGCGCTCGGTCAATTTGGAAAAAGATGGTCCGAGGGCTGCCCCACATCAAGCACGGAGGCGAGCTGTGTGACTGCTGCCTAGCCGGGAAGCAGATGAGGTTGTCGTTCCCAAAGGCGGCCAAGTATCGCGTGGCGGACGCTCTCGAACTCGTCCACGGCGATCTCTGCGGGCCAATCACGCCAGCCACAAAAGATGGTCGGCGGTACTTCCTCCTGCTCGTGGATGACTGCAGTCGCTATATGTGGCTGCAACTCCTGACGAGCAAGGACGAGGCGGCGGAGGCGATCAAGAAGTTCAAGGCGCACGCGGAGGCGGAGAGCGGCAAGAAGCTGCGCATGCTGCGGACTGATTGCGGCGGCGA